AGATAGGTTTCAGGGCTCTCCCCATGCAGAGGTCTGGCCACTGTGGTCTTCCCATTAAGGGACAGCAGAGAGTTCCTTGTGAGCAGTCTGCCTGGACCACAGGACCTCAGCTCAGATACAGGAAGGGGAGGCCAAGGGACTGGGGGCGCCAAGCGCTTGGTCTTTAATTCAGCGCAGCTACTCTGTCATTACATCTTCTTTTTCTAAAAACCTTTTTTTAGAGTATTTTTTTAAATCCTCACCTGAGGATATGTTTTCATTGATTTTTAGAGAGAGGAAGGGAGAGAGAGAGAGAGACACTGATGTGAGAGAGAATCATCTGTCGTTTGCCTCTTGTACATGCCCTGACCGGTAATTGAACCCACAACCTTTTGGTGTATAGGACGATGTTCCAAGCAACTGAGCCATCTGGCTAGGGCTGTCACTCCATCTCCTTGGTCAGTGCTTTTTTTCTCTTAGCATCTTCCATCTATAAAAGTTGATTCAGCCTTTCTGGCACTGATGCTTCAGGGACCTACTGGTGCAAGGGCTTAAAAGATGCACGTGCTCCTTCATTCATTAAATACAAATAAGTAGCCCTATGAGACATATGTATGGTGAGTTCAGTATGTAGGGATTATTTACCTTATTGTATTCATATTTTTTAAATTAAAAAGAAAAATTCTCCAGCTTTATTGAGGTATAACTGACAAAAAATTTCATATATGTAAGGTGTACAACTTGATGTTTTGATCTATGTATATACATTGTGAGATTTTCAACATCATCAAACTAATTAATGAATCCATACCCTCACATACTTACCTTTTTCTTTTGTGGTGAGAACACTTAAGATCTACTCTCAATAAATTTCAAGTATACAATTCAGTATTATTAACGGCAGTCAGCATGCTGTACATTAGATCCCCAGAACTTATTCATCTTGCATGACTACAACTTTGTATCCCTTGACCAGTATCATCTCATTTCCTCCTCCAAGTCCCTGGCAACCCCCATTCTACTGTCTGTTTCTAAGAGTGTGATCATTTTAGATTCCATGTAAAGTGAGATCATGCAATAGTCATCTTTCTTTGGCTTATTTCACTTAGCACAATGTCCTCTAGGTTCGTTCATGTTGTTGCAAATGGTAGAATTTCCTTTTGTAAGAGTGAATAAATTCCATTATATATATACATATATACACACACCATATTTTCTTCATCCATTTATCCATTTATGGGCGTTTAGGTTGTTTCCATATCTAAGCCATTGTGAATAATTCTGCAGTGAACATAGGATGTATGTATCATTTTGAATTAGTGTTTTGGATTTCTTTGGATAAATACCCAAAAATGAGATTGTTGGATTATATGGTAGTTCTGTTTTTAGTTTTTTGAGGGACTTCCATACTGTCTTCCATAATAGCTGTACCAGTTTGTATTTCCATCAACAAGTGCACAGGGTTCCCTTTTCTCCAGATCCTTGCCAACACTTATTTCTTGACTTTTTGATATAACTATTCTAACAGGTGTGAAGTGATGTCCTCATTCTCAGATGAATGATCTTATATGTAGAAAACTGAGTGGATCTTCACTCCAGAAAATTTGCTTCCAGCTTGGCAGAAAACTTTTACTTAACATCTTTTTTTTCTTCTTTTTTTCATTTATGCCTCCGGTGTTAAGCTTTGAGGATTTTGTTGTGCTCTGTTGGCATAATTTCTGTGGCTCCACTGTACCTATGGAATGACATTCAGACTCTTTTCCCAAATATTTGCAGCACTGGGAAGCTGGCTCTAATGTACTTTTCTGTCTTTAATCTTCTGTTACTCCATGTGTTTCCCCTAATCCACTGATTTGCTTACTCTCGCCAAAGGCCAAGCCCCATGTGTGCAGTTCTTACAGTAGTGTGGGAGGTTGTCACCAGGACAAGAACAGCGGATTCTAACTACAGACGAATCCAGCACCTTGCCTTGAAGATAGTAGAAGTGTATCCGCCTTAGTCAGACCTCAGAGCAAAGGGTGCTCTCCAGGAGGAAACAGCAAGATTAACCCAAAGACAGCTTCAGGGCCTCTACATAGAGATTAGAATGGTTTTCATTCAGGCTATCTTTAGGATCTACTCTAACTTTATGACATCTGCACAGAGCCTTCAAGGAACACTGTCACCAAACAAGAAAAAAGTTTTTAGTCTGTGGGAGAAAAATATGTGGATAAAATCATTTCTACGTATAAAATCATGCAGTTACCAAACTTTGGCTAGTATTTTGAGTAGTACACATCTTAGAGGAGAGAGGAAAATTTACAGAGTTCTTTGGGTGGATCCTGAAGACAAATCAGGTACTTTTGGTGCATAGTAGGTACACATTAAATATTTGTTGAGTAATTTTCTGATTGGAGAGCAAAAAATCGTCTAATGAATAACAGGCTGACTGAATGGTTTTCTGGTCTCTTACTACAATGTTTTAGAAAGAAGCACAAGCCTGGCCGGGCGTGGCTCAGTGGTTGAACGTTGACTTGGGATCTAGGCAATCAGGGTTTGATTCCTGGTCAGGGCACATGCCCGGGTTGTGGGCTCCATTCCCATTTGGGGCGTGCAAGAGGCAGCCGATCAATGACTCTCATCATTGATGTTTCTATCTCTCTCTCCCTCTCCTTTCCTCTCTCTGAAATCAATAAAAGATATATTAAAAAAAA